AAATTGTGTTAGTTAGCGTGTCAGTTGCTCAGAAATAAAATTAGTGGGAAACTGCTAGCCAGCGTGGAGCCTTAACAGACTTATACACACACACAAAAAAAAAAATGCAATACATAAAACAAGCGTCAAAGCAAAAAGAGAAAGGGGGGTAACGTGGCGCCTTTCACGGACGCGCAGGCGTCGGGCTTTGATGGTGTTACACGAGAGCGAAACAAGAAACCAAGCAAAAGAAAAGGGAGCGGCAAAGAAAGAAACCGCCATGCACAACTCCTCATCGTCCTTCTTGTCATTCTTTTTTTGTTGTTGCGACAGTTTGTAGAATGCACGCGCGCACAGACTGAGATCTGGGAGCGGAAGCGACTCATAACTCGCAGAGCTCTGTAACTCGTTGACTTGGGCGCCGCCGAAAGATGATCAGGTATTGTTTTCTTATAGTTCGAGGAGCGTTGTTTAGCAGGCAGCCAGCCCTGCCGACCCTGCTGCCTTCCACGTTCATTCTCGCGAACTCCTTTGAAGTGCGAAATGTGGGTTTGCTTCAGTATTAAAACAAAGCGAGATTCACTTCCCTCTTCTCCTCTTGCGCTTTGCTCCGAGGCTTGTTTTTTTATACTGCATTTGTAGTGTAAGTCCGCCTTTTACTTGGTCTTTTTCCGATGCTTGTTTTTTGTGTTATATGTTTTAGTGGGTTGGGATTACAAGCAAGCTAGCGGATTCCCGTTCATTTCCTTTGACTTTAGTCTCTGCATACTTCGTTTCACCTTGCGATGAACCGTTGCGGATGCTACGAGTCACCCTAGGCAATCGAGCACCGTGAGCGGGACTGCAGGGTCACGAAACACTCGGAAGGCATTGAATTGGTTTCGATGGCTCTCGTGCTGTCTGTTGAGGTCCATCGTAAGGTGAAGTAGACTATCGTCACCGCTCTTGGTGTGACCGAATTGACACGATCTGGAGAAAGACTGTCCCGCGCCAGACCGTTGCTGTGAGGGCAACTGAGAAGAAGAGCTGGGTGCTAGCTGCCACTGAGGTTTTGGCTTCCGCGCGTCTCGGCTGCCCGGTCTGCATTCGTGGTCCTTGTCCTGGACCCTGTTTGAGGCGGTGAGAAGTCAGTTGGACGGTTTTGTTGAGGAAACACGGGGAATGTCAATTCGAACGGTGCGGTATTACCCCGTTAATTGTATCTTGATGTGAAGAGCTTTGTCAAGGCTGACTGCCTGACCCGTCGCCACAACGCGAACAACCGACACCGAGGTAGAAGAATGAATCGGTTGATACCGTCTGCTGCCTGAACCCGCCACTCTATCAGCGCGAAGAGGAACATCACAATTCGGACGAGAAGACAAGATAAATACAGATCGAGTCATGGCATCGTGGAGGACAGTTTTCGACATTAGTCGCGAAGAAAATAAACAAGCTGCACGCTGAAAGTTGTGCAACGATACGAAACTATACACGGTGCAGTCGGCGTATATCATCAAACTTTATTCGCCACCTGAAGAGGAAACATGAGAATGAGTATGCGAAAAACGGAAAAGGGCAGGCGCCAGCCAAAAATTGCATTGTATATGATAAGAAATATCGAGATTCGTAAAGCAAGCGTGAACTTGTGCGTTTTAAAACAGGTTTTGTCAAATGGTCTATACGGTCCCTCGTGCCGCGCCGCACAGGTTGCATTTTGTCAGAGGATGTGTTCTTGCCGCTGTGCATGGAGTTGCTCCCAGCAATGTACTAGCCGTGTTGCTGTATTTGAAGAATACAGTAATATAGCTTATTCCTGCGCCACGCACAAACTGGATATTTTTATGGTCTTATCAAACAAACACGCTGGCCGCGTATGTCCTAAAAGTCAAATGCAAAAAAGTAAAAAAAAAAGAAAATGAGTGGATTTAAGTTTTGCTGTTTGTTGCGAGTCACGTGGTCGCGAGACCAATGTCTTAAACAAGCATGGACATATCAAGGGGCTTTCTCTATCTTTGCAGTACATTGTAAATAATCACTTTTGTACCACCAGCGGTCCGCTTAGTAAAATCAGTGCTTTTTGGAGAAATTTAGCTTTTTTTTTCTTTTTTTTGCAATTGTCTCTGCATTTGATAAAGTCAGCTTTATGCTGCTTATGCTGGCACCACAATGAAGCTTTTAAATGCCAATTTTTACGTTTAGGAATTAAAGGAATGGAATGGAACAATTCATCCATTCCAGGAATGGGAATGGGCCCAGTGTCTCCATTCCTAGGAATTGAAAGGAATTGAACTATCGAAAACTCTAATTCCCCGGAATGGATTTGGAATGGAATGGGGGTGCCCATTCCTCAACACTGGTCTGTATGTCCCTTGACGCCAGGTCACGTGACATCAATTTTCCCGCTAAAGTTAGCTGAGAAACTGAATTCGTGTATAGTTCTCGTAATATCAATTTCCACATGCATGGACGGACGGATGGATGGACAAAATTTGGGATGGGGGGTAGCGTTGAAAAGCATGTCATGCTTTAAATAAAATGTTCCAGAAGCTATCAGATTTTCTTTCGAACGAGTCTAAGTTCGTTGGTGGCACAGTAATACTGGGTTTTGGAAAGGGTCTAGTGCAACATAACCGGGTGAAAGTTGAACACATAACATAAAGATGCAGCAAACACAGCCGCCTTAAAAGGGCACCGACTGGTTAAAATAATTTTTTTTTATCCGAAACGATGAAAATGATGCCTGGACATCATTTTCAAAATTCAAAACTTGGGAACCTGGTATTTCTGAAGTAAAAAAAAACAATTTCCCAAAGCGGAATTTGAAGTTCTTGCATGATCCACGCCAGTGCTGTGACGTTAAAGATTGAGTCGTTCTGCAACTCCAGTTCTGTCATGCCTCCGAAACAAAACAACTCGTGTTTCTCTCACTCCTCTGAACCGTCGAGTCCTGCATTGTCGTGTTCGCCTGCGTCAGTCGGCGTGAGCAGACGACGCTTCACTTTCGAGTTTGAAGTTCTTTTAGGGCTCTTTCAGCGATCTAAAATTCATTTGAAACGGTGTGAGGCTGAAGAGAACGCGCAGTGGACTTTTATGAGCGACATGAGGGGCCATAGCATACCGGTTCTGCGTGAAAGGCTGCCCTGGCGGAGTCACAGTCGAAACTGCAATACAGAAACACCAAACTTAGTTGTTTTGACTGTTTGACAATTTCCTTTTTGAAGTCTGAGAGGTCGTCAGGCACCTAAAAAAGGGAACTTCATCCGATTCCCCGACCTACCAATCATCCTCAGTGCTACATGTGCCGACCGCTGCCAGTGCCGCCATGTTTTTTGAGGGAGGATAAAAAGCCAGGGTATTTAGAAAAGAAGGGCCATATTGTGTTTGCAATTGCGTTAAAAAAAACATGCTGTACGAATGCCATTATTAAATGTTATAAAAATGGTGCTTACAAAGCTTCTAAATTTCATAATTTTTGATGTCACAAATAAAGAGAAGTGAGGAGGTGAGAGGAGGGAGAGAAAAACAACAAAAACAAAAAGGCACATGCAAAAGTTTTTTTTTCATTGTGGTATTTTTTCTGTCTCTATGCATTTTGTCTAAAACGACTTGCATCGTTTTAGACAACCACGAGAAATGCGACCTTTGGGGTGTTATACCCCTGTCAGACGGGCACCTAAAAGGACTTTTATGCCAAAGGACCTTTAGTGTAAATGTCATTTAGGCAGTGCCACACAGCAACTCAAATGGCATTTAGCAAAAAGGTCCTTCTCGTGAACCCGAGTTCCTTCAACTCCTTTACGGCTGCTAAAGGCCTACTCTCGACAGCGGTCTACACTAGAGAAGCGAATTGAAATAAAAGATCGAACCAATATCTAAAATCAATGCAGTTGCACTTTTATTTTTGAAAAAAGAAACGTGTTTCACGTATATTTTGTACAAACCTCGCTCGACTAATACTTTTCTGTACTCACGGCACCAGCTACCTAGTAGGCCTCGTCGTCGCCTGCGCGGCCTGCTCGCATCGTCCGCTTCAGCACTTCGGTTTTCCTCCTCTCTATTTTCCTTACAACCATAGTTATCTAGCTTTTATTTCTCTACTTCATAATTTATCATCCTTTAATAATGTATTGCTAACTGTACCCTGTATATTTAATATTTTTGTACATATATATTTCTGTATCTCACTCGCATGGTGCAATATGTCGAACTACGGAGGAGCGTCCACGATTAGGAAGGGGTAGCCGCGCTTTCATTGGAGCGTTGAGGCGACCTGGGCGCTGATACAACTTTGGGAGGATCGGCTGGACTCAGAGCTCCGACGCTTGCGATGAAACTCAAGCACGAGAACGGCGCCCAACCGAACAGGGCAGGGCAAAAGCGTAGCAGAAACACGGAAAGGAACAGGAGCTCAGAGCAACGTTAGAACTAGAACTGAGTGAGCACGGGACGCTCAGGGTTGCCGCTAATTGCCAAAAAAACACTTTACTTGGACTTGAATTGGACTTTGTTGTAATCACTCGACTGAACTCGTCATTTTTTCTTTTTTAATATATTGTTTGCTTAAAAAAAAAAAACAAAAAAAAATTATTTATATCGCCAAATTATTATTTTTCTGGAGTGAACACGATTTCTGCGTTTGAACCAAGCTACGAGACTTCAATCGCTGTAAACATTGTCTAAATGACATTTACTTGCACTGTCTGGCACCGCAGAACGCAAGGGTCATTTGAAAATCCTAAAGGCCTTTTGCATAAAGGTCCTTTTAGGTGCCCATCTGGCAGGGGTATGAGTGCCCCACAAAGCATGTTTCTCGTGCGTTTCCGCTACGGTTATGTCGACACTAAATCGACACTACGACACTGAACACACCAGTCATAAACGCATTTCAGGCACCGTAGTATTGCCAACAAAACCGTACAGATTACAGGTGTGGAACTCAATGTATCCATGTTGGATTGGATTGGATTGTGGCATTGAAGTCAGGTTGACTCATGGTTGCCTTTCGGTCTCTTTCCGACGCTGTTCCCGTAATGCGGCAGACAGGCAGTTCGAGCTACGAAGGAAACTTCATTACAACGAGGGCAACGCGCTCAAGAGAGGCAGCCAGAGGGTAGAAGACGACGACGAGGATGACGATGACTAGGGCAGCCCTGCCCTCTCCCTACTTCAACGCCAGCGTCCCCCAGTGCTGCAGGTGAGCTTTCTTGACCCTTCCCCCGCCAAGGGGAGACGGGTTCACCCGTGTCACGGCTGTAAAGCAGCTACGCAAGGTGCTGCCATATTTTCCGCTCTAAGTTTCACCGCCTATAAATAGCTGTTTTTGGACGAAAGTCCCACCGATAGAGCTGTACGGTCGGTGCGGCAAAACTACGTAGAAAAACCTGTGCACGTGTGATACGATAGCAGCATACTGTACGCGCAAGCGAGAGCAAGTTTCAGTATTGTCGTGAACAAATGGAACGTGAAATGTAACCCCCGTAGCAAATTTCCGCAGTTAATGTTTGTACGTGTAGAAAAATATGATGCATATACTAAGATGCACCGAATGAAATTTTGACAGAAAACTGCGACCTATACACCGGGAAACATGATACTAGTTGAAATTTTGGTGATTAACTACTTCAAGTTGTGATGAAATTGCACCTACATTCTTGGTTCAGTTGCAGCTTTTTAAAATTAGGTTGACTGCACTCAGTCGCAGCTTTTTCGGACATTGTAGAAGTAGTGGAGATTGCGCATGCACAGCATTAATCGGTGCTCGAGGTTCTTGACTGCACGGGTGCGCGCACCTTTGACTTTATGGTCAGAAAAGTTGTCCCCGAGCAGAAAACACAAACTTAAGCTGATTGAGCTTCAGCATTATGTGCTACTTGTTGTCACTGTAACTACCATGTTTGTTAGAATGTAACTATTTTTAAGCTAAAGTGTAATTGTGACTTATAGTCACTTTTAAAGGTAAACTTTACAGTTGTGATCTAAACTTTTATTTAGCGCCTTGTAACCTACTGAAGTTTTATATTAATTTATTTTCTAGCTTTTGTCTAAGGACTATTGGTGTTTACCGGACTATAGTCTGCGGACTATGTGCATTTATAAGTTGCAATGTTACGCGTTGCGGACTATCTGCAGGTGCACACTATACTATGATGGGTTTTTCAAGAACGTTCATTACGAGGAGACACCAAAGATTTTGCGAACGACGGTTTATGGTAATGACGAGCTCTTTATGATTCAAGCTTCTTCATGCGCTGATAGAGCTGGCATTTCTGCTTATGAATGAGATTTTTACACTTGCACTATGCACCAGGTGCATAAACATTTTTCGGTAAACATTTCTCCCTGCTAGCTTTTCCGGGCTGTAGTCCGCACTGAGTGCGGACTATAGCCTGGAAAATGTGGTAAGATATGCTAAAAGAAGTGAAGGCCAATTTTACGTCGTTTCATGAAGTCACAGTCTTGGCTGTAATTGTTTTAATTTCTGTTTAAAGTTTTATTTATATGCGAGGTGAGAAGCTGGTGTACGAATTCAGCTTTGTGCCTCGTCAGCTCAGGTTGTTCGTTTTACCGCAAAGCTTTGCATCTTCTTCGCAGGAGGCGTTGTCCGGACTTCCCTCCTTGCAGCACGGTTCCCGGCAGCGAGAAAAAATTCCTCCTCCCCTCCCCTCGCCAACGCATCGTGCTGCCATCAGACTCTTTGCAGACGGGAAAAGCCCAGTGACCGATCGTTCCCCGCCGCCGCCTCTCGTCATCTTCCGCTCCGAGACATTCTTCCAAACTTTATTTATTTCTGACCGACGACCCGCGTCGCGAGACCGCGTATGCGGCGCTAATCTCTTACGTCTGCGATGCCGGTTCCTATTTTAACGGGTCCTCTTACGTTTTTTTTATTCTTTTCGGATGCCGAAACGGGGCCGGAACTCGCAGAGTTTGCTGGCATGGAAATGCAAGCCTAGCCCAGCGCTTTCAACCCCTCTTGAAATTCGGTGCCTCGCCGGGACGCCAAGTTCCGACCGCATCTTCTTCGAACTAAGGAGACGTCTCCCGAATTTACCCGTTATAACTGCTTTGATTGTCGTAAATCTACCGTACCTTGTCCACGTTTTTTTATTTTTTTTCCTCTCGAAGAGTGTTGCTTGGGTCTTTTCTAGAAAACCTCTTTGGTCGCAAGGAGTGGCTCGAAGTCAAGTTTATTGAGGGTAGAACCGAAGTCGCAGACAGTATTCTGCAGGATAGTTTTTATGTGGCAAGGGCTATGTCGTTTCTGTAGATTTGAATCGAGGCTCGGCTGGAGAGCAGTAGCAAGGAACACGTCTCCGACGTCGCGCTCCTAAGTTCGCCACCGCCGTACACTGGAGAAAAGTTTAGAGAGCGAACGTTGGACAGGGCGCCTCTGCGCATGGCTCGACGTCGCCGAAATCGTGTGCCATTCGTTTTTTTTTTCTTTTTCTGCTGCGCATGAAGATACTCCCACGGTATTGTCGAGAGTCACGCGACCGCCGTAGGCTCGAAGATTGCCAGCCAGTTGCGTCGTCGTCGTTTCTTTCGTTTGCCACCTCGATCTCCCGGACATTTTTTTTTATTTTTCCTTTTAATTTCAGTAGGGCGTAGTCTTCCAGAAACGAGTGCAAAAGAGCGCCTTGGTGAGATACTAAATCGGTGCGGATGCGCTTTTGTACATACTGTATAGCAAAACTCTCTTGGCCGTGGAGTTGAGGACTGTGCATGCGATTCTGCCCGAACAAATGGAAAGAAGAAATAAAAAAAAAAGAAAAGAAGTTCTCAACAACTGGCAAGTCGTAATGGCGTTTGTTTGTGTTTTTTTTTCCTCGACAAAGTCCTTCGACAGGGTCTGGGTGGTTCCGGGGTTGCATTTTTGCTCGGCGTTTTGTTGGATGCCCAAGTGCAAGCTCATTTTAGCCCAACTAAAGACAGGTCTATACATCTGCAGTTGAGTGTTGAGGCCCGTTCGCACACTTGCGTTTGCTTACGACCTAGTTCTTGCGAGCTCTTACAACAAAAGAATGCACTGGCACGCTGGCTCCATCTCTGGGGTGACCCCGAAACCGAATTTCACCGAAGCATAGGTTTTGCAGCATTTGGAATCTATGAGAAGTGGTCGCTTATAATGTCAAGTTTCCTAAGCAAAAAATTAAAATAGTGCGTGAAGAAAAAATGAGATGTATGGAAACATTAAGTGTTCCATGGACACCTGATAGGTGGCACCAGTTGCATTCTTCTGTCGTAAACGATCGCAAGTGGATGCCACGCAATTGTGCGAACCAGTCTAAGAGCTTTCGAATCATACCCAATAGGCCCTTTTCAAAATTCAGCGCCATCTGGTGGCTTGAAGAGCAGTTTCACTTTCGATAAGCTAATGGCGACCATAGAACTATTTCGTGGGGCACCATCACTTTTGCGCTTTGACGGCAGATGAGAAGTGGTTCTTTGATCACCTGAATTCTTTCTCAATTTGTTTCAGTTTCGATGGTGCAAACTTACGAGGGTCGTTTGATAAGTATGGTAAAAAAAGCAAGCTAAACACTACTGTTTTTTATAAATGATTTTATTTCTCAACATAGTCTCTGCTGAGGGCTACACACTTGGTCCAGGGAGTCTCAACTTTATTCATTCTGTCGGGGAAAATAGGGCGTCCAAAACCTGCAAAATATAATTAAAAAAAAAAAAAAATTCAAAAAATATTTTTTTGAGAAAAAGTTGTGCGATGTTAGTTCTGGAGAATACGGGGGATGAGGAATCAGTTTGAAGCCGAATTTGTGCAGTTATGCCACTGCGACGGTCGATTTGCGGGCTGGCACATTGTCCCAGTGAAAAAGCATTTTTGCGCGCTGATCTAAGGTGTTTTATTTTTAGTTCTTTTAACACGATTTAATAATGTCGCATAATAGGCCCCTGTTATTGTTTTACCTTTCTCCAAATAGTCGAACAAGGTAATTCCTTGGATATCCCTAAAAACAGTGGCCATCACTTTTCCAGCTGACAAGACGGTCTTCGCCTTCTTTGGTGCACTCTCCCCAGACGTCCACTGCTTTGACTGCTGCTTCGACTCGGTTGCGGAATGGTTGATCCAAGTTTTATCCACAGTCACAAATTGACGCCAAAAATCCTTCAGATTGCGACTCAACATCGCCAAACACTGCATTGAAATGTCCTTTCGGGCGCATCTTCCGTCGACAGTGAGCAGCTCTGGCACCCTTCGTGCACACGTTTTTCATGTCCAGTATTCTGTGCAGGATATTGTGAACACATTCAGTTGAGATGCGTACAGTTTCAGAACTCTCGCGCTCTTTCACTCGACTGTCTTCCAAAAAGATGCTGCAAATTTTTTCAACGATTTCCTTTGTGGTGACCTCAGCTGGGCGTCCGGAGCGCGCTTCATTTCCGGTGTATGTTCGGCCATGTTAAAACTCGTTGATCCAAAAATAGACCGTCTTCAGCGCCGGTGCAGAACCCCCGTGAACTTTGTCCAACTCTGCTTTAACAATCTGTGCAGCCGTCCACGTTTTTAAATAACGAAGTTCGATCACCGCGCAAAACTCGTTTATTTCCATTTTCGTGGTAGCTGACGAAGGGCCCACTTAAAACATTTTTTGAGCGTGCACCACGCGTCACATGTGGCTGAAATTGGGCCCAATCTAGTTTGAAAAGCCTTAGTTGCCAGCCATAATATTGTTGCACGAATTGTAGCTCCCTATTTTGGAAATTTACGAAACTTGTCAAACGACCCTCATAAGAACCGACCACTGCAAAGCAGCGACCCGTAAGCCCTCGATTAAATTTCTGCCATCAAAAGGAGTTTAGAGCCAAACTTATGCCAACAGATTGATTGGATCACGCCGCGAAATAAACGCTTACGCAGCTGTTTTATCTAATTTGTGCGTCAAGCTGTACTGACGTCTCAAACTTGCGGGCCTCGTATAACCTCGGCCTGGTGGCGTCTTCAACTTCTCCCTTTGTCTGCCTCGAGAATACCACCATTAGTTTGGCACAGACACCATACAGCGAGGTGATGATAGTGATCAAAGTTACCAAAACAGAATTTTGAAACTGCTTGGAAGTCATCCGGGCGTCCGTGCTCCGTTTCGGCATAATGTGGCTAAAGGCGAAGGAGCGAACCATGCGACGACGCTCCGTCAGAGTGGATTGCCGTTGCGTGCTTTGCTCCGTCACACGAACCGGCTCAGGGGGGCGTAGCATTTGCCTTTTTCAGAGTTATGCCGATTCGGAGCATAGGTATAGGAAATTACGTGCTGGCCTGCACACTGGAACGGCATACATGGTTCGGACCGGATAATCCCATAGAAATGCTGAATTTTGCCTCGAAGAAACTATTTACACGCATGCACGAGCCCCTTACCCATTACTTTTAATCACTCGCAAATCCTTTACAATATACATTTGAATTAGCCCATTTCCAGGCACAGCACGACAAACAAAAATGCCCCAAGACATTACAAAAGACCTCACATATCCCACTGCGTTCGCAAAACAATTTGCCCAGAGCAGCCGTTCTCAAATGGGGGTCCGCGAAGCCCTGCCTCATCAGGCAAGCCCAGCAGTAAAAGTTGTAAAAAAAGTCAGATTGAGAAGAAACGTTCCAATTTTAGACAAGTTTTCTCGTGTGCGTGTCAACCAGAGAAGTATACTTCGCATGAACCCTCAGTTATATCTATTTAGTAAATCATTATCGTAATTAACCTATACCTTTCCCTTCTCCTCAGCACAAACAGGGCCCTCCATCACCTCCGCCGATCCACAAGGCGTCTGCAAAACATCAGTTGTTGAGAAGCACTGGCCTAGAGCTAAGAGCAGTTAAAAAAATTTAGCAGTCCCCTGATAATCCCAATGAGATAGACAGGCTTCCTTTCTTTTCTACACTTCTCTCTCTCTCTCTGAACGAAATAGTTTTGTTCCAAACACACTTGTTTCTTCTTTTGATCCGGAGGGTGTGAAAGTATGTCTCCCGGCACAAGCTCTTGGCATTGACAGTGCTAAAACAACAAACTGTAATCGGGTTTAGCACGTGCAGTGGGCATTTGGAACTACAAAAACCTTAAGTATACTGTGTCAGGGGTGGCCAAGCTGTGGCTCTTTGCGTGTTAAACTGCGGCCCGCGGCTCCCTTCCCTCCCCTCCCCTCCCCTCCCCCCCCAAAAAAAAGAGAAATGGAACGCGTTTTAAATCGAAAGACAGGTTGCGGTTTGGTAGTCTTGTGCTACTGCTACCTTACGTACAGTTGGACTGCTTTTGACTCGAATAGATTGAAAGTAGTTCGAGTTTTGTTTATTACTCCGGACAAAAGTTTGCACCCCCACCCCCGGCTCTTGGACGTTTCGTGGTTTTGTTTGCGGCTCTTAGGTCGGGCCAGCCTGGCCACCCCTGGCATATGTCAACGTTAGATGAGCTCGGTTACAGAACTGCTCATAGACGCTGCATGCACGAGCAGTACCCCCGCTCACTCACCATGACTCACCTCCCGTCGTTCGACGCGCCACACGGCTGCTACGGCAACTGCAGTGTATTCTATGGAATACGTAAGTTTCGAAGTGCAGAGTCTAGGTATTTTAACCCTGGAGATTGGGCACAAGGAGAACAACACGTAATCCCCACTCTCCAGGGTTACAAAGTCTATACTCAACCAGCTTGCCTGCACCCTTGCTTTAAGCATCTAGATGGCATTGTCCAGGTCGTGGTCGTTTGCCACTTAGCACGAACAAGCGATCGCTAATTTTTTTTAGTGTGCGCCATAGAGTAGATGGCGTTCCACCGTACTCTATGGCGCACACAGTTCGTAAACGAAAATCTAGATGGCACTTCGAACGACGGGAGACAGGCGTAAGTGACTGAGGGGAGGTACCCCTTTCCGCGGGAGTTCCACAACTGAGGTAATCTGGTAACGCTGGTATATGTTAACACTGTGGTATGTGGTGTAGCTCAGTGCAATGCCTTCGCTACGCACATGGCAGACCCAGATTCAATTCCCGCCGGCAGCGGACAATCTTTTTCAAGGATTTGGCAGCGTTTGGCGATGGACGCTTTATAATGCTAACTACAAGATCAACGACGACAATAACGGACGTCACTTCAAGTGGTGAGAAGGGCCCATAACAGCTATCGCTGTAAAAGCAACCTTCTAAAAGGCTGTCCAAACGGGACGCAGCGAGTGTCGTGCACCACAAAAGAAAGTGCACATGCTTCTCAAAAAACGTGGAAGTCCCGACGTGTGTGTACGTTTACGGCAAGAACATAAACCGCAGAGTGTGACTTTCCCCTCCCCTTTCTTGTTTTTGAGATTGCGGACTGCCAACAGCGGAGGCCTTGGCAACACCCCTCGCCATTGGCGACTGCCTCGCCGGGGGGAGCGGGGGTGATGTTTTTTAGTTTTTTTGCCCAACCCCTCAAGGGTCTTCCTGATGATATCCCACGCTGCCTGGTGATAGTTAGGGGGAAAAAATTGGCGCACAAGGGCGGGAGGAATCGTATGTTTGCCTTTTTAGACATGGGCTAGGTGGTGCAATCTACCGCTTGTAACAAAGGCTATACACCAACTCATGTTTACAAAAAAACCGGAGCGCCCCTAGCGGACGCTACCGGCGCCGCGCATGCGCGGTGGACGGTGCGCAAGAAGTCCGTTGTCGCCCATAAACAAACCATTGCATTGCATTGTTTTCGGCGTCGGTGGGAGTCCCCGTGCTCTTTTTCGCGTTGGAATTGTTGATTTTACGTCCTCCTAACAGTGTCGGACTACTTGAGCGGCTCGTCTGTTTATGTTGTTATATTGCGTAGTAGGTGCAAGTTAATATGTATACAAAGTTTTAGATTATAAAACCATTTATTAAGCCGATGGCAGTAGAAATATATCGGGACTATTTTCTCTTGGAAGACAAACCCCCATTCCCTGCCCATCGCTGAAACTTGACCAATGGAAATGCTGCATCTCGTGATGAAAGCGAACGTTATTATTGCAACACTTTTTAAGCTTCTTGTAAATTAGAGTTTGAGAAAAACGTAAACTGATTGTGGTGCGAGAAACATAGTTCGCAATTATCGCTCCAAAACCAGCGAACTATGTTTTCTCCCCGCAAGCTTGTTGCTAGGGTGCAATGCGTCGGTGCGTCGGGTCATCTGCTTCCCGGGGCGTGTGCAGGCGTGCGTTGGCGGGACACATGTTTCTTCTCGTGGATCCCGACTCCGAAGCCAGCTTGGCGATCTTTCTACGTCAACGAGTCAAACGTTTCCTTGTCATCTGTGGAATGCGACTGCGTATCGCAGTAGCAGCGCGACGGTGCGGTGCCATGAACGACGACTGCCGAGCACGAAGTCTGGGTTCCTTGACGACGGTCTGTGCTTGTTCGAGAGATTCCTCCGCGTGTCGGCGGTCGGCCGCGTTGGTGACGCACAGTGAAGCCGGAATCGTTCGCCTGCTATTGGCTGACGCGTAAAGAGATGCCCCTCCCATTTTCCGGGGTCATCTCAGAAAGGTGGGCGTGCCTGGGACTTTGATAGCAATTTTAATAGGGAAATCGGCCGCGCATGACCGTAATTTTATGAATTTTAGGATCCTTAGGGCCCGTAGATTGAGTTACCGCCATAAACAGATTATCGCAGAACGCTCCGGAGGGCCCCTTTAAGTCGTTTGAGGCCTGCATTTATTTCTTATCGTAATCACCGGGTCAAAGTTTGGTCTACGGGCCGCTTTTGTTTGAACGAGCAGACGACAAAAAGAAGACAAGTTGGAAAGAGCAGACGAAAATTCGAACGATCAAGCGGCCGTGTGAATTTGAAGACGCACTGAACCCGCGGGCGGCCCGGACAACTTGGCGGTTTTCTCTCGTTCATGTTGGAACAAAACAAATACATCTGGCGACCACAAAGTGTTGCCCGCACAAGCAATCGTAGTTCGACAGTGTCTGGTTTACCCTTTTCACGGCTACTATACAAGTACTCGGACGAACGGAGCGGGCAGAAACACATGAAAACTGATCTCAAACCTTTCCAGACTCTTTTGGCGCAGCCCCCGTCACAGAATTTTGACGAGAACGCAGGTTTTTTGTCTGGTTTCTCCAAAAAGAACACAAGAATGCATGTCTCGCACGGCGACTTCTGCCCACCGCCCCAGACCGGAAGTGCGTCCGACGCGCCACCGCCGCGGCGTGACGTAGGAGAGCTGAGTTGGTGTATAGCCATTAACATCCATCCAACCCAGCAGAGTGCGAGTGGCTATGTCCGGGCCATGTCGTGAGTGTGCTTTGAGGCTTCGTCCGAGGACGGACACAAGCTTTCCCCGGGGTAAAAAAACTCACGAAGCGGACCGCAAGTGGAGGAAAACCTCCACTTCTGGTACGGCAAATGCAACGCTTTGGCAACCTAGCGTACGTAGTTATGCAATTTTTCAGAGTCCAAGCAACAAAGCGTGCAGACCGACAGCACATCTGTCGACGAATCAATCCAGCTTTATTTACGAGGCACGCAGCTACATACAATATCACAACGCACGCACGTGCACTTGCATTGTTTCGACATAAGCACCAGCAAAAGGAGGTATGCTATAAAGCGATCTGTAGGCTGAAGCACCACTGATTTGTAAATGGATTCAAAAAGCCCGCTCACCACTAAGTGTGCACGTGTATGATACAAGGCGCCGGCCGGGTTGTTGTTGTACTGCTTACGCAATACGAGAATTAACAAAAGTAAAGGTGGTCCTGTTTTGTGTGTAGCCATTGAACAGTATGTAAATGCATTTCGCGTGGTACCAGCCATGCATCTACTGGTAGAACATGCTATGGATACATGACTTATACTTCCATTTCGTTATAAGTCGGAGTGCGGTCGAAGACTAGAAGATAGACGCAGACTCGCAAGCTAAAATCGCAATGTCACGGTGAATTCACGGCACTAGATCAGTTGATGGCATACGCAGGTAAAATGCTGAACGCCGTGATGTCGCGCCTTCGACACTGTTTGATTATCTCCATCGACTCGTACTGTTGACTGCGCTCCGACTTACGGTGAAATGGAGTTTAGCAGCACCTGGTGGTGTCATTACTTTTTTCAGTAACTTTGAAAGTACAAGATGTCCAAGTGTACACAACACTGCTTGTTGCCCATAAATTCCTAAAAGGCCAAAGCTTGCAGGACAATGTATGAACTGTAGAAACTTCAGACCAACACTTTTCACTGTATGGCTCTTACATACTTAAAAAATAAGATGACGTGGTTGTTTTTGTTTAAGAGCATTAGTATGCATTGCAAGGCATGCAGAGCTGGGTAGGCAAGCCTGGTTATTTGTCCAGACATCACACGACCCTATCAACGTTTGTACGACGTTGCTGGAATATCCCGAGAATGTCCCATCTGCTGTCTACTTCTTTTTCAATTATTACAAAATCGTTATAGGCTAGTGGGTCTGTAATCACTCTACGGGTTGACTCTAGTTTCTGATCGCAATTCGTGTACAATGAGGGTAACACCGAAATGGGTGTCCGCGAAAGCTTGTTTTTGATAATGCATTGTTTGACAAAAGTGACATCTGTTTGTAAACAGTTGCTCAGTGGAATGCCATTAGAGACAACTTTAGCAGAGTTTCAGTATGAATAATATTAGACCCAAATACAGCTCTTGCAGCGATTCAATGAGTGATATTGAATAACTGCTAGCTCCGTCTCTGGAACAGTATTCAGTGAGAAACTTTTGAAACAACGCTTGAACTTTCTTTAACAATGTGATTTACCGGCAAAACAAATACTGATGAGGCCCAAAGTACTGGAACAAGCTTCTGCCAGGTTTCTGTAAGCAAAATTGTATCTTTGCACTTGTCTGCTACTACATGACACTACTACTTGTTCAACTTCATCAACTGCATGCACAAAATAATGTAAAAAAAAAAAAAAATCAATCTACGGAAAAAACACGGGTAAAAAGAGTCGATTGAACCATTTTTGTAAACACCAATCTCATGAGGATACCGAGTTCAACAAAGGCAAATTCCAATGAACACCTGACCTGCGATCAAAAATAAACTCAGAAAAAGACCCTCTGAACTTCGCAAAAAGTAAACTCCGAAAATCACAAACCCAAAATACAGAAAAATGCAAAAATATGATCGGAGGCCATACAAGTTAAGATTCATACAGCACTTCATTATTGTCCCAACAGATCATTTTTGCTCAAGTTATCCGAATTAATTAATGTAGGTAATTTTCAGCTGTAATGGTTTTGGGTTCCTCGAGGACAAAATAAATTAGGTGTAATCAAAAAAGCCATCCATACCAACGCAAGTATTGTGCTTGACTAGTTAGTCAATATATATCCACACTGCAAACAAGTCTTGTAGGGCAAATCGACTTTCAGTGAAGACCAATGTCACTACAGGTCAACTCAGTTCAGGAAATGTCCATGGGCGCTGCTTTCATGAGCATTACCCCCTCCCCCCAATATCCACTTCCTGTCGTTCGACGCGACACCGTTCTGGGGACAGCTGCTATGGTAACTACAGTGTACTCTATGGAATGGGTTCTGGAAGAAACGTCCCGGAAAAAAAGCTCCCGGAAAATATGTCCCCGGAAAAAAAGGCCCCAGGTGGAAAGTAAGAAAAAATGTCCCCAAAGGAACATTTCTTCCACTGCCGTTCGACCTGCTTTTGACTTTTTCTGTATGAATCTAGAGTCTGCCATTTCATTCCTGATTTTGTAACATTGCATCTCAACTATTTTTGTTTGTTTTTCATTGTGAAATAAACATTTATAACACTTCTAGCCAAAACTGAATTATTGTGTTTGGGGAAATTTGAAAGGTGCTTGTGTACATTTCCAAATAGGTAAAAAGCGCGACACTTAAAGGGGCGATTTCTTCATGATCTCCGATTTTCTTGAAATTTCGCTAAGCTCGCCAACAAACATTGTTAAAGTAAAATCCCAAACATTAGGTAAAATTTTTTTTTTTTTTGCGAAGTTATCGAATTTACAATTTTAATCCTCACCGTGTTTTTCAAACTGAAAGTCTCTACTGGCAACAACGAAAAAGTGACGTTGGTGGGAGGCAGGGGTTCACTCTTTGGACTAGAATTTGTTCCCAATTGAATCCAAGCAGTTTCATGGTGTCAAATGAATGCTTTGGAAGCTCGCTCCAGTCCCCACGCCCCAGCATGGAACAAATGATTGGCATATTCTAGTTTTCAGAGTGCTTGCTCGACTGGCAAGCCTGCCCGCCACTGACGTCACGGCACTGAAAAGTGTGGGTATATTAAAATGTTGGTTTTTGCATCATTTTCATTTGCCCATATCACAATAACTATTACGAATTTCCCGATACTAAATAGCATACAGGAAAGGGTAAAGACCAGGGAGTTAGAAAATATGGTTAGTTGAGGTAGCTCAAAAAATCGCCGGAGTACCCTTAACACGAACAAGCGATCGCTAGTTTTTTTGTTTTTTTTTTACATTTTCTTTATAGGAACGAAAGGTTAATTGTCATCAAAGCTATTATAGGTACTGAAAGTGCTTATTTGGGAATATAATTCAGATGGTAATATTTCGTTCCTACTAATAATCTTTCTAAGTAAAATGTGAAAATGCGCCAATGTCGTGTTCGCGTTAACAGTGTCGCGATGTGTACCTCGAGGAATCGTATATTTCCTTATTTGTTGGGGCAGTTTTTTCCTGCTTGCCACACGGTGCCTTTTTCCCAAGGACATATGACCAAACCGTTCGAAGGCCATCAGTATCAGGGAAGCACAGAGATAGAAAATATCTTAGGGACATTTTTTCCTATTTTTCACCTGGAGCCTTTTTTTCCGGGGGCATTTTGTCTGGAGACTTTTTTTCTGGGGACATTTTTTGGGGGACATTTTTTCCTACACTTTTATGGAATACACCGAGTTTGAAGCACAGCATAAAGATGGTGACTCACCGTACTCTGTGAACTACACAGTTTTGAAACGCAGCCCACAAATGGTGCTCCAGACGACAGGTGGCAGACGTGAGGGGGAGAGGGAGGTATCCCCCTCCATGAGAGTTCCACAACTGAAATGATCTAGTTACGGTGGTGAAAACCAAGGTTGGCCTATTGGAGACCCCTTGAAGCGGCAGCTCCAAAAACGGCTTCAATCTGGCGCAAAGCTGAGTTGGCCTGGCTTGAGACGTAGACCAATCCGGTGGAGCCAGTTTCTGTGGCTATGGCCTTGGCCACCTCCTGGCACGAGCTAAGGCAGGCATCTCCCGTGTACTCCAGAGCTATCACTGGACCTAAAACGAAAAGATAAAAATCCCTGATTTGGTACGGCAATGCGGTTGATTCGCAAAATGCCATTGGAGAGTGCCGTTAAAGGGGCAGTCCGCCGTTCTTGATTGTTGTCACTGATTTGCCTGATTGGGACACACTTTTAGAGCGCAGCTCTTAGGCGCCCGTTTCCGGCTTGAGCGGAGTCGCCGTCGCCGTAACCGCGCGGTGCATTATGGGACGCGTAACGTCACTGATGACAATGCCGATGACGTCACTGACGACGTCATGTCACGCCACTGATGACGTCATCAGTGACGATGACGATGCCGATGACGTCATGTCATGTCACGTCACTGATGACGGCATCCGCAGCGCCATCGTCATCGTCACTGATGACGTCATCACCATCCGCATCATCATCGCCATTGTCACTGATGACGTCGTCGGCATCCGCATCGTTATCGTCCCTGATGACGTCATCAGTGACATCACTGATGACGTCATCGGCATCCGCATTGTCACCGATGACGTCACTAGCGATGATGACGTCATCAGTGACATCACTGATATCGTAATCGTTACGTGACCTCATAGGGGTCACATGACCCCCGTGAGGTCACGTGACCCTCGTGAGGCGACGGCGACGCCGCTCGGAGGAAGGAGTAGCAGACAGAATGAGGAGGTGAGGAGGAGGGAGGAAGGATATACCTTCCCCTCAGTGCCCTTCCCCTCCTAATCCTCAAGAGCTGCGCTCTAATCCGGCGTTACAGGGAGTTGTAAACGGATTTAATTTTATCATACCAACTCGCCTAACTTGCATCACTTCTGCATAGACTTCGAGTTAATTCATAGTGTAAATTACGCAAAAAAAAAGAAGCGTGGACAATAAGATGAGTGGCCCACAGGACAGGGCGTGCCACTCCTCTTCAAGTCCTCGTTTTTTTTGTAAACTTTCCGACGAAAAGAAACAAAAAAATCTTTTGCTCGATATTTACGCTGTTAGACACAATGTAGGTGGAGGTAGTCTGCCCTACAAATGCAGTTAACTATGCTCCATTTTTTGGCTTTCATTGGTTGGAGAGATAATTGATGCATAGATTGTTGGTTGTCAAATTGCTTCTCCATGCCGTAATAATACTTTTTTTTATAGAAAATATTTTTATGTTTGAGAAACAAATAATCTAGATAGAGTCTATTTTCAAAAATGTTCCGAGATGGCCTTTCCGCTTTGGTTCCAAACGATGACAAACATGGCTGTCGACGTTTCCGGAAGCCCTTTCATTTTTATGAGTGCGAGTCGTTCTGCACTCACCAAGATGTCTAAAGGAAGATCTCAACCGACCTAGTAAATTGCAGCAAACCACTGTTGCAAGTACACGCCTTCGGAAGCGCTGTGCGGGTACTTTTTTTCGTTGCGAAACTGGCTTACGTCTACCCTCCGTCAACTATGTTGCTCGATCTGGCTTGATTTGTTCGTGTTCGTGAGTTGGTGCTGAATAAAGACGTTGTTTCCTGTAAAAGCACCCTCCATGCTCTGTGAATTGTGCAACCGTCGTGATTGCAACCATGATTTCAATACAGAGAAGATACCTATACAGGTAAGAATTGGCGAGCCATTTGGCTAGAGGCAATTGGGCATTTGGCTCGCATCAAGTTTGTCCAGATTTGTTCCCGTCATTTCGCTTCATAAGGAAAGTAGCTCAAGTTTTGCAGTGCACTTGGCCTGCTAAGAGAGTATTTTTAGGTCGCGTTTTAATTGTGCGGTATGACGCTCACACATCTTGTTCGCAGATGTCATGCAAAAAGAACTAGAATAGAAAAGCTGAAATGACAGCATATTTATTTGTTGATTTTTTTTTTTGTCCTCTTGGTCGTCTCCTACCGCACATGGACAGACGCTGACAGACGCTTGTATTGAACCGTGGCTCTTGCATGATAGAACGCTAGAACGACAGTTTCATTGCAGAGGTTTTTAGGTGGGTCAGACCAGGGCCGTAACCAGGGGGGGGGGGTTAGGGGGTTCTGACCCCCCCCGAAATTTTTTTCTGGGTACGGTCCTGGTCGGTGCACTTGCAGCCAGCCGATTTTAATCTCCACCTCTGCGCACGCGCAGTGGCACCGGTCGGCTACCGGGTACCAAACCGGGACCGGTTCTTCGGTTTGCTATGACTCTCCATTATATGCCACCGATGCACATGATTCATAGGCGAAAATAAGACAAAATGGCCGCCATTGTCCCCGAAAACCCCCCCCGAAATTTTTTTCTGGGTACGGCCCTGGGTCAGACTAGCACACAGAAGAAAACGAAAATGGATGCCGACGTGCGGCATTCATGTCCGCGTCTCACTGATATTGCAGACAACGATAGACGGTGGTGGATTAGCAGACCATGCAAGACCGCGCTTCATCTCGCCGGATTAGCGGGCGGTGTCAGACGCCAGACTAGACACACCAGATGTCACGAAAGGGAGACTACGCTTGTCAGGCTGCTCGATCCAGTAGCCAAGCCAATCCAGTAGTAAAGGGCGGGGTCACTGATCTGTGGGCGGGGCTTAGAGCGGGCTGTGACCTCTACCTAAATTGCATCTAACAAAGTAAATATTCTGTTTTTTTTTGTGCAAAAATAAAAAAGAACCATTTCTCACATGTATGCCCCTTACAAAAAAAAAAGAAAAAGTTATTTGTGTTTTTTTGGCACATCAGTAGATACAGCTGATCCAGTAACCCAATTATGTACAAATTGTTTGTTATTAAAGTTACTTTATTTTGACTCTCATTTTTTTTTTCTTTTTTACAAATTAAAATTTTTTTTGGCAACACTGAAAAAGTGACGCTAGTGGCAGGCACGGGTTCACTGTTTGAGCAGTAAAACTTGTTTCTGGAAACCCATTCACACACTTGCAACTGCTGAAGACCGTGTGCCTTAAAGGGATACTTCAACGAAATTTGAAATATACTCGTCGTGTTCAAAAATTGGTTGAATATGATCCACAACATCCGTAAATGACAATCGCACGTTTATATTTTGAGCCTGGTGGCTGTATTTTTCGTTATAAACGGCCCACTCTGGCAAGCGCTCGGAGAACAGCCAGCGAAGAGCACGTTACATCCAATGCAATCGTGACGTAGTTCGTCTCGGGACGAGCAAAGCTACGGCAAGGCTGACGTCGAGAGGACGGCCCAGTCGTTTCAGCCACGGAAGCGGCTGCTTTTGTACGAATTTTGAGTGACGGGTTAATCTTCTGTAATCTTGTAGGGGGACAATAGCGACTTCTGGGACACACAAAGGGGATTATCGGAAAGAGGGGAGTTCCTCCTGCCCCTCTTCTTTCGTCAAGGCCGGAGGCGAGACATCTCCGTCACTAGCTGTCAAGGTTCCTAGACGAGCATTACAAACGAGGCGTTAGCGACATCCACCAGGTGCTCTTTGCTAATCGTCTAATTTGTTTTAAAATTCCTTTTAGTGACTTTTTTAGCAAGATAGTGGTGTGTCTGATGTGATACTGCTCCTCTGAACACATATAGAACAAAAAACGAGCACCAAAATTTCGTTGTAGTATCCCTTTAAAACCTCTTAAAAATTCATTACGACGAGGGGACACACTCGCGCCATCTATCGGGTAAACACTCGGCTTTCGTATATTCCCTCATAAGTATCGTACCGGCGTGCGGTCGTGCATCACTACTGCGTGGTGCACCATAAAGCCCCAGGCTAACTGTTGTACCGCAATGGATAAATTTCTCATCTACAGCTGGGAGATCAGTCGCCCATTGAGGCAGACTAAGTTCTAGGTTGAATAAACATACACCCCCCCCCTTCCCCCCCCCCATCTTTTACGAGCATCGTTCATTTATTCTTGGCTCGAAAAACTTTTGTCAACGTTATAAACAACCATTTCTCATAAATGGTATGTATATTTGATCTGGCAAGCACTGCAAAACCTTCGTTCTAGTCAAATGCAGTTTCAAGGTCACCTCATATGTGGCGCCAGCGCACCAGCGCGTCTTTTGTCGTAAAGCATCACAAGAGCTCGGTCCTAGGGTGCCCTAAGCAAATGCAAGTGTGTGAACGGGCCTTTAGAGATTACGAAAAGTTTGATGAAGTGAAATGGATGCTGTGGAACATCAGCGCTCGGTCAGCAGCACGAAGAAAATGTGCAAGACACTGTTTTCTAGGGTGCCTGTCGTGCCTTCCAGTAATGTCATGCCACTGGAAAGTGCAGGAAATTTTTAATGTTGGTTCTGATGTCGGTTTTAAGTGCAGTTTTCTAAATGGCTACTGTGACTTTAATAATAATAATAATAATAATAATAATAATAATAATAATAATCAATCAATCAATCAATCAATCAATGTTTTTATTCGTGCCCGGGAAGAACCTTGCGGTCTTGGTACAGGTGCACTGTGTTAACATGTAAGGCAGAACAGGGTATAAAGCAATAGTACGGACAACACAAACAACGGACAAGCCCTAGAAAAATACACTTAAAAATTATAAAAAGTAAACACAAAGTCACAACACACGATAAGCTTATTGGTACTACCGCCAACACCAATTGCTAGAAAGAAAGAAAAAAAAATGCATTCAAAGTGGGGAATTTCGGCGTGAACGCCGCAAGTTAGTGCATACAGTTCAAATTTAAGTGATGGCCTTTAACGTTTTTACAAACTGCAGCGTGTTATTGTTAAATATGTCGAGTGTTTCAGAAAAAGAAGAATTATAAGTATGCCCAAGTCTGGACACAGGATCGTGGAGGTTGAGTAGACGCCTGTTGCAGAAGGACGCATTTTGCCTTGTTGTTTTTAGAGGAATTTTTAAGAGTACTA